CTTTGGAGCATTTCTAACATTAATATTAACATTTGCACAAGTGGTACATTTCTTAGAACAGTACAAAATGCAAAACCTAGTTAACATGTGAAAGCTTGTTTAAAATAAATTGTTAATTCCTAGAAAGTGTGTCGTTAAAATGAAAAGTCCTGGTATCACGTTTATGTACAGATCAGTCAATGTCATGCTTTCATTTTGAATGTTCACTGCTAATGCTTTGCAAAAAAAAAAAAAAAGAAAAAAACAAACACTGATTCTGTTTGAGACATGAAGTTAGAAATTTAAATTTGGTTCAAAATTCTTTCCGCAAATTGACTTTATCATCAGATACACATCTCCCATTTCTCAGAGTTTCTCAGAATATCTCCATTTACTTCCCTTGCAAGAACAAACAGACATGAGAGCAGGTGAAGGCGGGTGGGAGGATAAATCTGAGCATCTTTTACCTCCTCTGTGATCATCACCAGTGGGTAGCTGTCCTCAGACAGCAGGTTGAACAAACAGAAGAGCTTAAAGCAGTCCCGCTCCGAAAGCAGCAGCCTCTGCGACGCCATTTTGAAGTTCTTCTTCATCGTCATCATCCAGCACAAATCATCAAATCTTTCCTTGTCAAACATTCCCTCTTTCACCTGGAAGTACAGAAACATGTGATAAAATGTGTCACATTAACCCTCCACTAAATCTAACATTAAACTTAACATGTTGTGTTTGAAGAGTTTTGTATTTTTTTGATTTATTATTAAAAATAACCAACACAATAATGACTAATGTTACTGTGTAAAGGAGAAATTCACTTTAATTCATCCAACATGCATTTATAAGTCAGTTGTGTTTAACTCACATTGTGGTACTTTTTGTTCTTTTTCAAACTAGTTCCTAAAGCCTTTAATATGGAAGAAGATTAGTGCCATCCAAAAAACATATATATATTTTTTTTATCAGAATCTGGACTTTAAATTAGAAGATTCTCCCTTTCGTTAAAAAATATGAAAGTTAAAATTCTGAAAAAAAAGTCAAAAGAATTTAGCTCTAATCCTCTTCCATACTTTTGCCTTTCTTTTTTCTTTGCTCTGTTTTCTATTGCTGTCGCTGGTTCCCTTCCTGCTTTGTCATGTTCTTCAAGTTCTTCTAATTTTTATGTAAAATTCTCTTTTTTCCCCTCAGTCAGACTCTACAACTGGGTCACAAACATAACTTAGTTTAATAGTTTTGTCTCTAGTTTTTACTACAGCACTTGTATCTGGGATACTTTTTTCTTAAAACAGATTAGGAAGACAGTACAGGGTAAAGAAATATAAAATTACCACTTCTTATTTGAATTTACACTCACAAAATAAATCTCAACACTTTAATGAGCAAATATTAGTCTTGTTTTATTAAATGTTGTCACACTTATCTAAATGATCGAATCTAAAGATTAAAAGATTTTACAAAACAGCAACAAATATTAACAGAATTATTGGATTATTATGGAATATATTTTGCAGTAATTTTTTTCTTAGTTAAATAATCCCTTTTTTCAGCATCAGTACATTTTTTTATTTAGGAACTGAACTCATGACATGCAACAGTTTCTGCCCTCAAACTGATCTTAAAATACTTACTAATAAATTATTTAAGATGTGTGGAAAAGTTGTATTAATAGTCTGTGCTACTTTGAAGTGCTGAATTTGGCCTAAATATCCCTGTTTCCTTCCACTAGAAGAAAACAGGGATATTTGTTGCTTATTTGTTGCTTTCAGGAACTAAACAACACCTCATATAAAAAATAATTAACTTCTGACATACTTATAGACTCTCTAACAATTCCCATTAAATAAATGTATTTTAAGCATTTTTAAAACGTATATTTTTGGTTGGTTATCTGGTAAACTTTAAATAAATAATTCTCGACTTCTTGTTTCCCACGAGTGTAAATATGATGTTGCACAACTTTAAAAGACGAGAACAGGAGTCAAAAAATGTCTACAAGAAAACTGCTCCTGACCTAAATGTGCAAATAAATGTGCAAATAAAGAGTTAGAGAATTTAAAACAGCTGGAACTATGACAAATATTTATTTCTGCTTTGTTGCAGAGTTTCGACCTAAATACTTTCTCAAAAGTCCATAAATGCAACACACTACAAATCGCTTTGGTCACATAAGTCCACAACAAAAACTCCAGGTCTGCTGTGAAATAACATAAATATTTGGAAAAATATCTGATTTATAAAGTTGCGTACGGTGTTGGATCTATGATTTTTTTTTTCTGTTCCAAAGATATGTGGAACTTTTTTTAGAGTGAATAAATATGACAACATTTTAGGGCAATTGGAGATTTTAAAAAAGCAGTAAATTTCCTCCAAAAACTCATAAATGTTCTAGAAAGAACATGGACATTTTGAGCTTGAAAAGTTTGTTTTTAGATTAATCTCGTAAGTTTTCTGGAAAACAATTGGAAATATAGGATCTTTAGAATTCAAACATTTGCTAGAAAACAACATGGAAATTTATGAGTTTGAAAAGTTTTTTTTTTAAATCGCTGGAAAAAAATGATTTTTTTTTTTAGATTAATCTAATAAATTTTGCAAAAACAAAAAGACTTTTCAAACTCAGAAATGTTCTTTTTTGTTGTTGTTTTTTCTAGAAAGTTTCAGAGGCAATCTCAACATTATTGATTTGGTCGTACCCAGATGTTATTTCTGGAGGAAATCGATCCATAAAGTTTCATGTCAAAACAAGCTGCAGAAGTTGCAGCCGTACCTTATCCAGTATATATTTGTTGAGGTAGGGCATGTAGCCATGATTAGAAACTGGACCATCGTCATCATCCTGGAAGTGCTCCTCCAGGGCAACTGGGTCATGTGGGATGTTCAGAACCGTGTACAGGTTGTGGGAAAGGACCTGAGGAGGAAGAACAAGTATAAACGGATCACTTTAAATCTCCTTGTGCGTCTACACACTGCGATGTTTCCTCACAAACACAAACACAGTCAACTTCCAGTGGCTGGAAGCATGTCAGGACAGCTGTCTGCTGCTTCCTGGGATTCCTCTGAGCAGCAAAGGCATGTGGAGACTGGACAGATTAAGATAAAACTTACTGAAGAACTGCAGAAAAAAAGATGCTGACTTTCCCACTTTAAAACAGAACAAAATAAAAAACCCTGACAGTTGAAATATTGAGTCACTGTTTGTTTCCGGCCACAGAAAAAAGGCTGGACTTTGAGCTTGAATCAGGTCTCTATTGGTATAAGTCTTAAATATTTGTCCTCAAATATGTGAAATATGAAAGGTGTGTTCCAGTGTTGCTTCACATACCACAAAACACAATCTCACAGGAAATCAGCCATACTTATGGTCTTTGGTTTGGCTTTGGACATGCGAAATAAAAAAAACAAAAACAAAGACACAAGAAATCCTGATCATTTCTGTAAAATCGGCCTCCTCTTACCTTCAGCTGAGATTTGGACACCTTCCCGCACCTCTCCACGTCCAGCGATGTGAAAGCGTACCAGATCGACTTCAGGAGCTCGATTTAAGGTCCATTTTCTGGAGACCGCTTTGTGAGCAAGAAGAACTACATTTCCGAGCGGCGCGCTTCGGTTTTTTTTTTTTTTTTTTTTTTTACGCAGCGGTGGTGATATTACAAATAACAGGACGGAGCTCAGAGCTGGCTGCGCTCTCGAAAAGAGCCCAAAGCAGGCAGATGTAGGGCAAACTTAAAGAGGCGGAGTAAACCCAGATAACGCCTCGAGTTCACAGCTGGAGACTCGCTTCTTACAACTTTACGCACGTTTAGGATAGAAAACGCGCCTTTACGCAAACATTTCGCCAGTTCGCGACATGGAACGTTGGAAGCATAATATTTACATTTTGGAGCAGATCATGTTGGTAACAGAGATCAGAAAAGCGTCTTTTCAGCGTGAATCTGTTTAATTGAGACTTCAACCAGGAAATGTTCCAAGAAATGAAATGTGATTGGTCAGTTTTTTCATGGTCAAGGATGTAGTTCCAGACAAAACTAAAAGGTTTAATTCAGATATTTAGTTTGTGATGTACAGGGTGTTTCTGACTACTGCTCTGTTGTGACTCCAAACAAAAGTTTCAAAAGCCTTGACCAAACTCTGTCCCTCTTGATTCAAACTTAAAGGGACCTATTATGCAAAATTCCCCTTTTTCCCCTTTTTTATACTTTTATTTGGGGCTCAACTGATTCCAAAAACAGTCCAAGAACTAAAACAAATAAATAAATAAATAAGTTATTGTGTGTTGATGTCTAGAAAATGTGCCATTTCCAAAACCTCTAGATAAGATACGTAGAAATATCAGAAAAAAGTGGGAAAATATCCAACCAGAATTATGACAAAAGATTGATGATTAAATATAAACATTTTGTGGTCAAACTGCATTTTAATCCAATATTTTTGGATTCTATTTTTGTTGACATACGTCAACAATGGAAAAAGAATAAAGTAAATCAATAAAATCCCCAAATTAATGTGATATTTATTCAGAGACTGTGACCTCTGGTCTGAACTGTATCTGCTGGTCTGGTGTCCCCTCAAGGAAAATAGGTCAAACATTAGTCATGCGGTCACACAAAGCCTCCACACGACTTGCTGGAGCAAAAGTGGGCTAATCAATAGAATAATTAGATCATGAAAATGGTTGTCATGGTTCCAGCCTATAAAACCAGACCCTCTACACATGAAGCCTGTATGTACATGTGGTTTTTACACTAACACTGTGAATTCATTGACTGATTCTAGATTTTTGAGCTTCCTTCATGTTGTTTCTGAAGTTTATGGCCACTTAATCACCAGCGTCTCAAGTGCAAGGCGGAAACGAGCCGTCATTCACTCGGCTTCAAGTCACAGTTATTTGGCCAAAGGTCCTGATGATGATTAGCTTTCTTCCTGGTAAACAGAATTTACGACTTCGATGATTTTACATGGCAAATCCAAGCTCTGTAAAATGCAATTAGCAGTGAAAAAATAAGAACTCATTGAATTCCAGGCAATGCATTGCAAGTAGTTTATTATATATATATGCTTGATTAGTGATTCTGTGTTTGCATGCAGTCACTGCTGCATCGCAAGAGTGATTCCTCCATTTATACATTTAGTCCATTCAAGGGCAGCAGACCTTGACATTTCCATCCCCCGCTCTAATCAATAGGATGTGATGAAGCAAAGATTTTTCATTTATAGTCGACAGATAAAGCTTAAAGTCTCAGTCAGTCATGCTGCTGACAGGAAGAACAACAAGAAACACGACATTAATGAACACAAAATACATGTAAAAGCGGATAGAGTTGTGCAAAGAAATGCTCCATAATTAAAAAAACACCTTTACACTCATTAGAGATTCACAAAATCCCATTTCAAGACAGTTTTCATGCTAATAATTGTACATGCGACACATCTTGGAATAAATTCCAGTTTTTCTTTCTGGGATCTTCTACCGATGCAGGGACATCTGGAAAAAAGTAAAAGCTTCTGAAAGAAATATCCAGTGAAAATGACTGCAGGCGGGTTTATATACAACATGAACATTTTTGTGATGGGGAAACTAAATGAAGGAGAGATGAGCCTAAATATTTAGACAGGGGAAATTCCTTCACCTTCAGGTTTTAGCTGAACAAAGAAAGCAAAGAAAAGTCACATAAAATCACACAATCTGTGACACTTCTTAATATATACATATATAGATAATTTATATTCTGTTATTACTGAACGCTGTCATCACCATGGCACCCCGTTGTAGCTGCTGCAAGTTTTAGAAGTTGGTCAGATTGAAACAATTTCTATCCATTTCCAAGGAAGAGAGACCAAAGAAATCACAATTCCTACAAAATTTGGAAAAATTTGGAATATGTATTTAGTATTTTCCTTTTTTCTCCAGTCTTTATTTCCTTTCTTTGTATCTTTGCCTCCTACCTTCTGTATTTTCTCTTCTTTTTGTCCTGCTTTTCTCCTTCATGTCCTTCATTTTTTATTTATCGTCATTTCTTCCTCCTATGTCTCCACCTTCTTTCCAACTTCCCATTATGTCTTGTGTCTTTTATTCTTTCTTTCTGTATTTCCCGACTTCCTTCTTTTTTGCTTCCTTCCTTCTTTCCTTTCATGGTCCAACCTCAATTTCTTTTCTTCCTTGCCACAGAAAGCTTAAATATCTGGTACCCAATGTTTTTGCCCCAACTTGCGCAAACGTCAAGGCTGAAGAAACATTAGTTAAGGGAGATAATGATGAGGTAGAGCTGTTTCTAAACATGAACAGCAGCTGTTGAATCTTCCAATATTCACCTCAAATGGGCCAAATTCACTAAGCAGATATAAATGCGGCAACTATAATTTCTCTACTTGCATCCCAAGTACAACAATTCACAGCAAATTGCCATCTATGAGCTTTAAAGGGGACCTATTTAAATTTAGCACATTTTTATACTTCCATTTGGGTCTTAACTGGGTTTAAAAAAAACACCCAGCTGTTTTTTGTTGTTGTTTTTTTGGCAATACTTTAATGTTTTTTGGTGTCTGGGAAATGAGCCGTTTCAAAAACCACTGGAAAGTAACTTCACAAACCAGCAGGCACTGCCTAGCAACCGCAGCAGAGTTCCAGCATGTTTGATCAGCTGGTTTTATCACTGTATGGGGTTTACAATGGCTGCTGGAAAACAGAAGTGTTTTGTTTTTGACTTACCACCCAGAAACCACTTGCTGCATTCTTGTTGCTTGTGCAGGAGGCTCCACTTCTGCTTTTCAAAGATGCCTGGCTATATAATTGTGCATCTGTTTGCAGACATTTTGTATGCGAGTGTAAATGTTGAGTTGGGGGGCGTGGCCAGCAGCAGGTTATTTGGATTTAAAGTGACAAAATGCTCTAAAACAGATCATTCGTGCAGACTAAAATCTCATTATTTAAGAATGAATTTGTGGGAGAAAAAAATTAATTACTATGTTTTGATTAACCTGTAAATCTCTCCTAACCTGTTCTGGATAACAGGTCACATTTTTTATTCTTTCGCCCTGAACAACAAACCTCCTCTTCCTATACTTTACTTCTCTGAGATGTCATCCCTCATTCAGAGCCAACCTGTCAATAGATCAGTTGAATCTTTAGTGTGCCACAACACGTCCGTGCTGTCTGGGTGTCAGTTTGTTGGCCAGAAGACAAGCCAGGGCAATGCCCCCGATCTGTGTGAAGGCCAACCCTAAAACAGTGGCAGCAATATGGAAGACGTTGTCGTTGACCAAGCTGAAGACCTTCCGGAAGCAGCCGTGTGGATGGATTCCTGCAGCCGCCACTCCGTCATTGTCATCCGACAGGAGCGGCCGATTCCTGCAACCCTTCCGCCTCACGCAGCAGCTGTCGGGAAGGGAGACCGAAGTGCCGTTCTCAGCAGGAAGGAAAGTCATGTGCTGGATGGCCCAGTCCGAATTCAGCCAGTCACGCCAACTCTCAGCACCGCAGCACTCCAAAGCTCTCTGCAGACTATCTAGAGCATCGGCCCGGCCTTCATCCTCCGTATAGCCTGCCACGGCTCGGAGCAAGCCACTGCGAAATCCTCCAGCAATGTCTTCACGGTAGAAGAGCCCAGAAAGTCCAGCGGCCAAACCGGCGACTAGAGTAGCAAGTTGGAAGAACCCGTAGGCTCTCAGGACGCAGGGCAGGTTTGCAGCCACCCCAAGACAACCGAGGAACCCCCAAGCAGTAACAGCGGCCCCAGTAGAAAGAAGGATAAGGGGGGCGTTGGGGTACCGATTGGCTGAAAGGGTCATGTAGTCCGCCAAGGAGATCTGCGCCCAAACACCAAGGGTGAAGATGGCCAACCCTGCTGCCCAGAAGAGGCAGCTGAAAGCCAGGAGACCCAGACGGAGGAGGTGCATGACTCCCACTGGGCGACAGCAAGGTGGGGCAGCACCCACCGGTGGGGGTGCGGGAGGCGCCAGCGAGGCTTCGGAGCAAACGGACAAAGACAGACGCTGGTGCTGCTGGTGAAGCTGCTCCTCTTGATCTTGGTAGGGAGGCAGCAGGTAGCCTGGGATGGCTGAAGGTCGCCGAGGAAGAGGAGGAGGAGTGAGCAGGTTCACACCAAGCGGGGAGGAAAGTCTTCTGACTGCTAGCTGCTCCCGCTCCCAATCCAAAGCCCGTCTGCTGGGACTCGGCCGGGCCGACAGCGAGTCGTAAGGGAGTGCGGAGCTCATGGTCTCCACTCAGGCTTTATCCGCTCGCCCCCTTCTTTGTTTTTTTTTTAACAGTCTCCCCCTTTTGTCCTCCTTCCTTTATCGGAGTCTTCCCTCTTCTCCTTCTTCTTCTTTACGACCGGTTATTAATCCGCCACAAGAAGCTCCAACGTCACCCAGACTGTAAATCACAATGATGGGACTCGAGTCAAGTCTTTATCTGCATCCACAGCTGCTCTATTTATCCGTTTATTTGGATATTGTTTTTCCACCTGCATGGTCAACGGTCCTTCAAATTCTTCCGCTGATGGTTACTTCTTGACGCCTGTCTGCTCGCCGCTGCCCCTCGCTCTGGTCAGGTGATTGCAGAGGGAGAGTAAACCGATGGACCCCCTCTCTCGGTGTGGAGGAGGTTTTCCTTCCAGGTTTATTATTTTCCAATATGGAGGAAGGCTGTAGAGAATCTTAAAACACCAACAATTCTTAGAAAACAATGAACACCTGTTGGTTAATAGAAAATATATATTTTTCTGAAAGTATTTAATCTAAAAAGAGAGAATTAGTGAAACCAATTAGAGCTACAGAAAGAAATTATCTAAATTTCCCTTCTTTCTTTGTTTTAATTATTTAATGTGGCAAATGTGGTTATGATTAAAATACTCTAGAATTTTTCACATTAAGAAAATTAATGGAAATTACATAATGTGACAAAAATGACAACTCTTTCAAGTTGAACAACGGGCTTGTGAAAGTCATTACATAGGTAATGCTGAATTAAATGTTACATTATTGTCCAGTTATCAATAAATATGGAGAAGTAATTCAGTTGAGCTTTCTACACTTAATTCAAATAACTAAATACTTTAAATTGATCAGAAACAGATATGCAAATGACTACTTTGTTACTCATTTTTGCGCTTAGTAAGTCATAATAATATTACAAAAACCACAACTTGGATTCCAAATCATTTTTAAGTGTATTTTTCTTCCAAAGGTTTTTATCTTTGGAAGAAAAAGTTAAAAGTATGTAAAAATTTACAATATGTAAATTGTTTGAAAACTTACTGAACTCTCATTGGTATAAATCAAACCTGCTGAACTATTGAAATAGGCAACTATAATCATTTTTAGACTGTTTTCAAAAGAATTTCTCTTCAGTATGCAAAATATTAGCCAAAATATTTACATCCCAGTTGAAAAATTACAACTTTTTGAGTCATTTGTAATAGAAAATTGCAAGAAAAAAAACAATTGTTATTGTTTTCTTGAAATGTTTTTTTTTCATTTCAAGTACTTTGATCAACTATGTTTTATAAAAACTATCATATGTGGTTTTAATCTATCATTAAATGTAATAATTTTAATTTGATTACATTATGCAAACTTTTATAGGTAAACTTTAGTTTTCTGTTGGTAAGTAACATGTCAGCAGTGATATAAAGTGAGTAGGGTGGAAGTTGTTAAGATAATTAATTAGAAATTAATTAAGGTTTTACAGCATTTTTAACTGGATGATTCATCCTTTTTGATAAAAAATAATAGTAAGAATCAATATGATATGTTTTAAGTGTGTTCACTTTATAGAATATATTATTTGGTGGAAAATGCTTCAATAAATATGGAGGGTGTGGTGTTATGGCATAGCAACACACAAAAGGAAAACCATACATGTTATTCTGCTGAGTTAAAATCTTTGCATGAATAACCCCAAACAAATTCAACATTTTCTGGTCTATTTTGTGATATAACTGGTTATAATTTAGTTTTTTATTTTACATGGTGCAGCATTTTGTTATTTCTCCCATATAAATGTAACTATAAATTACTTATAACCCAACATATGGACTTCACTTTGCATGCAGTACCCATTATTCTATTTCCATACAGCGTTCAGTCTGTTGGGATTCACTCGAAACACCTGCTGATCTAATAATAGAAAGCCAATTTCAGACCTCTGACCCTTTTCCACTGTTATGGTGCATTTATTGCACTCTGTAGACTGAGTGGGCGACAGTCACAGGCTGGAGCCCCGTTTAACGGCTGGGCCGGTTTTATGGAGGTGATTCCTGCTCGAGGAATGGCTTTCCCCCAATCAGCCAGAGCTCATTAAAACCTCTCAGTTAATTAAACACATTCAGATTATGCCTTTTATAAGGAGGACCATAACACTGACATTATGGCTGATCTGGGGGAAATGTGGATTCTGGAGGTTTAGCAGCAAAATTTGGAGGTCATACACTTTTAAGCTGTTGCACTACGTAAATCATTCATGTACTTCTTCGAATCAGGAAAAACATCACGTGACATAAAAGGAAAAAAATCCCAAAGCCAGTGGACTTTGCTTCATCTTTTTGTTTGATTACCGGTTAGGATGATCAACATTAATGTTTCGCTTAACTGTACTTCTAGACAATGACGTCTCATAATATTAAAGCACATATAGCTTAAATTGAGGGTAATATCATGTTTACTTCAAACAAATAACAAAAAATTTAATCACTGAAAGATTTCTGACAAAAAAAAAATCCACATTCATTTCACACATTTAAAAAAAAATTTCATAATTAAAGGCAGAAATGTAATATATGTTGTTTGTTTGTCTGTTAAAGATTAAGTTTATACTACAAAACATTAAGAAAATGAAGCAAACATTCATGGAGCAAGAGTCATTTATTGATCTATAATTTTAACTGATAGCATAATTGCAAAGCACAAAAATACAATCTTGGATTGACTTCTATCAAGCAAGTTAAAAAAATATTTTTCCACATAACTTATCCACAGGTTGATACATTAAATGAAGCTCCGGCTTCACACATACGACATTCGATTATCTAAATGCCTCCTTATCGAGGTCAGCAGCTTCTATATGCGTCTCCATATGTTTGTTCAGTTTGGCCTTTGATGGAAATGTTTTCCCGCACAGCTCGCAGGTCGGTTTCTCCCTCCTCTGCCCGGAGTGGCTGCGTTTGTGGCGCGCTAGCTCAGATGAGCTCTTAAACCTGAGCTCACAGGCGTCGCAGGGGTACGGCCTCTCCCCGGTGTGAATCCTGCGGTGCAGCTGCGCCTCGCCGAGCGTCAGGAAAGACTTCTCGCAGTGTCCGCAGGGGAATGGCCTCTCCCCGGTGTGGATGAGGTTGTGTCTGGTTAGGGCGTACGGCTTGGAGAAGCCCTTCCCACAGTGATTGCAGGGGTATGGCCGTGCACCGCTGTGGGAGGCAATGTGCTCCTGCTGGGTTTTTTTGCTTTTGAATCGTTTCTCACACTGCGGACAGGAGTAGGGCCTGTCGTCCAGGTGCGACCTGTGATGTTTGGAGAGCTCTCCCTGCGATAAAAACCCCTTCCCACACTGCGAGCAGAGGAACGGTTTCTCCCCCGTGTGCATCCGTTTGTGTCGGGCCAGCACAGATGCCAGCGTGAAGCTTTTGGAGCAGTGGTCGCAATGGAAAGGTCTCTCTCCGGTGTGAACCCGGAGGTGCTTGACCAGCATAAAACGGACAGAGAACCGTTTGTTGCATTGCTTGCACTGATGTGGTCGCTCCCCAGTATGAGTGGATAAATGTCGCTTGACGTCAGACCTGCGGGTGTACGTTTTCTCGCAGTGTGGGCATTTGAACTGCCGCTTCACCCGATGCGCCTGCCTGTGCTGGGCGCGGGCCAGCAGCGTGTCGAAGCCGTCCCCGCACTGCTGGCAGATATAGCGCCTGATGCTGACGTGGGACTTCCTGTGCTCCAGCAGCTCGTCGTCAGTGGGGAAGCTCCTGCTGCAGATGGAGCAAATGTGAGGCAGCTGGCTCTCCGACGAGTGCGATTTCTTGTGGTGAACGGTCAGCGCCCGCAGGTTGGCAAAGGATCCACCACACAGCTGACAGGAGAAGGAAATCGCCACGCCGTGATGTTTGCTCTCGTGCTTCGCTAAATCCCAGGAGTGTTGGAAGGTTCGGTCGCACTGTGAGCAATGGAAGGGTCTCTCCCCTGTGTGCGTGAGCTGGTGTCTCCTCACGTCAGACGTCCGAGTAAAAGTTTTCCCGCACGTTTCACATGTCAAAGATCTCTTCCTTCTGTGGGCCTGAGGACCGCCATCTTGGCTCTCGGCGTTTCCTTTAGGGAAAAGCTTAATGGACATGAATATTTCATCTGAGCTGGACGGGGACGGGACAAATTTCTCTCCTGTGAAACTCCTATACACATCGGTGCAAACGCTCTGCATGTGGAAGTGAGGAGGGCTGGCGTCGTCCGAGACGTGGAAGGGACAGCGAGAGCAGGTGAAGATAATTGACATTACCTCATCTGAATAAAGACAAAAAGCAAAAAGTGGAATCATTTAACATTTACGGAATCACTGGCACTGCTGGTTAAGAGACTCACTGCAAAAAACTACATACAAAGTATTTTTGGTTTAGTTTCTAGTTCAAATGTCTTAGAAGACATGAAATAAGACAAGATTTATGGGCTTGTTGTAAGTTAATAACTCCTTAATACTTAAAAAACATAAGTTCACTGGCAATTTATTTCACTTGTGAAATGGGAAAAAGTCTATGCTTAAGGCTGACCATTAGCACCCTCTGCTGGATGGAGGTCAAACTACAACACTAAAAGACGGTCTAAGCGGACATTATTAGTTAATCAACTGGAACTGAATTTGATTAATCAATCAACAATCGGTTGTAAATTGATTAACTGTATCCATCCCTTCTTTGAAGTGTTGCAGGATTAGTGGAAGTGCTGTCCTGCTGAAAATCCAGTGGGATTATCAATTCAGTTCTTCGACAAGTCAGGTTACCTTTGTCTGTTCCTTTGACTGCAACCACAGAAGGGTCAAAGGTCACATCAGCTCCACTCCTGTGAAATAAAAACCCATAATTAAAAAACGTTCATGCATTTTTCTTCAATTTCAAAAACAAGTTGCAGATTTAACAAACTTGCCAAAAAAAAAAACTAGAAAAGATGTACTGTTAGCAGTGTGGTAAATAAATTTGATTAGTTTAGATGACCACTTAAACCAAATTTAATTTAAAAAAATTAAAATAAAGCAAAAGTATGATGAACAACACTATTATAATCATATTAAGTATAGGATCTATACCCGACTGTCAGCAGTAGCATACCATCAATATTACATTATTATTAAATACTTGCAAAAAAAAATATGATCTTGCTTTTTTAAAACTTCCAATAATGTTTAAAAGACATTTGATTTTAGGTCAAAAATGTGTTATTCTGTTATTTTCTGTTCTGCAGAGTTTTTTTGTTTGTTAAGCTCAAAGTTAACGTAAATGAATTAGAGTGCATTATGGATTTAAATGATGCAGCTTTATAAGACAAGCTGTCGTTTGTTATATAAATTGCAATTGACAAAACAATTATAGCAGGAATGTTTCTGTACGTTTTTATTGCGTCGTTCTTTTCTCCCGCCGTCGTCTTCATTTCCTCCATCTTCAGCCATCTTGGCGAACCTGTCTGTGAACATGTGGAGGTGCAGATGTCGGGTTCCTGCAAAGCAGCTGCTTCACTGAAGACATTGTCAGTAATGTCCTGGTGGACGACAGGCTGGTAGTTGTCCACAGCTTCTATCATCTCTGTGTCGTCTTCTGTTGTTCTCTCTGTTTTGTCCTTCGTTTCATCTGAAGCACACAACGGCCCGATCTCACTTCCTAAGCTGTCCTTCCTCAATGCAAACGTTTTGGTCAAAGTTTCCAAAGCTTTAGCGACACCCGCAGCTTCCCCGCTTTCCTCCTCACCACCGCCGCTCACACCTGCACTCAAAGCAACTATTTCTTCTTCGTAACACTCTGTCTGAACTTGAATCTCAGGTGATTCTGCGTCCAGATCAGATGCTCTGACTTCCACTTCGGTGTAAAAGGCTACAACGCTGCACTGGCCTGCCTCTGCCAGAGTGATACAGGTCAGCGTGTTTGCGTAGTTGTGAACAGAATCCTGTCCAACGGATAGATTTGTCTTTTGTGAGGGAGGAACTGACAGAGCAGACATGATACAGCTACCAATGGTAGAACACGGCCCATCTGTGAAGGAAAAAAAAATTTTATTGAACAATACTTCCAAATGGTGTGCTGTTTCGTCTTAACTTACATGTCATCTTCAGTAATCCTGAGCTTTTGTAGTGCTTGAAGACAGAGCTTAGCTCTTCTGATGACGATCGGATGCAGTCTTCCAAAACAGATGGAGCAGAGATGAACCAGGCGGTCGTCTGCAGAAACAGAGACCTATTAAAGGTGACATACTACCTTCCTTGAACATGTCAGGATAGGTCTATGGTCTACCCAAAACACAGACCATAGACCCTTTTTGCACAAAATTATGCTTAGATAATGTGAAAAATCAGTCTGCTCAGTTCTATGTATTTTGAGCTGTTTTAGGGTATCTGGTCACTTTAAATCCAAACAATCTGCTGCAATTCAACGCACATAAAAATGCCTGCAAACAGATGCACAATTATACAACTGTACATCTTTGAAAAGCAAAAGTGGAGCCTCCTGCACAAGCAACAAGAATGCAGCAAGTGGATTCTGGATGGTAAGTCAACAACAAAACATTTCTGTTTTCCAGCAGCCATTGTTCAACGCATACAGCGGTAAAACCAGCTGACCAAATGTGCTGGAATTCAGCTGAGGAAGGAGAGCTTAGGAAGTGAGATCGGGCCGTTGTGTGCTTCAGATGAAACGAAGGACAAAACAGAGAGAACAACAGAAGACGACACAGAGATGATAGAATTTAGCTGTCAAACAAACGGCTACCCTCAGGCCTTCGTCCACCAGGACATTACTGACATCAATGTCTTCAGTGAAGCAGCTGCTTTGCAGTGAAGTGTGAATGAAGGGGAGATTTTTAAAACAGCTTACGCATTGAGTTACTGCCAAAAAAAACAGCTGGGTGTTTTTCTTAGAAGCACTGAGATCCAAATGGAAGTACAAAAACGTACAAAAAGTGAAATTTGCAACACAGGTCCACTTTAACTCTCTTACGCTCAAAAATAAATAAACCTTAAAACAAAAATAAGCCAAATACTTGTGCTGCCTTCCAAAAATAACAACATCTTTTGAACATGTTCAGGCTTTTTCACCTTGCGACCACAAACTTTTCTCTTTTGGGATTTTATGTGATAGACTGGAAGGAAACCAAAACATATTTTAAAAAAATTTAAAACAAGCCCTGGGGTTCACCCCCCTTTACATTGATAACTTAAATTAGAATAAAGTTGTCATTAAAAATATTGAAAAGCATGCATCACTTTCCTAACACTTCCCAGTTATACACTATCTTACATTGGTCTAAATATTTTTGGACGGAGTTGTACCTGCTTGAGGTCTGGAACCGGAAGTAGCTTCTCCAGCTTTGACAGCAGCTCCCACAATAACACCTGTAGTGCTGCATCGTACTGTTGACCATATTCAGCAGGGAACACCTCCTAGCACAAACAATTTAGCATCTTTAAAACGGTTTTCTTTAGTCAAAGCAGAGAAATTATGAATTCAAATCATCCTCACCTGAAAAAAATAGGCCCTCTCTGCCGGATCTTTAAGCAAGCTCTGAACAAGTGCAACAAAAGTCAACTCTGTCGTTTTAACATCTGGATCCATGCACTGCTGCGGAGATTGCATCGTTAAGCAAGTGTGAATTAACAGTGAATAGTTATTTTTTTAAACTTACATCTGCAGAACTAACAGGCAGCCTCTCCAAGTAACTCTGAATTCCTTGGGCATCGAATTCTCCTAAAGCAGAGCCTTTGCAGAGCTCCAAGATCAACTGGAAATGGCAATAAATTGTGTTACTACAAACATGAGAAAGGAACACATTTGCTTGTGACACAAACGGCTGCTGACCCTGGCTCTTAGGCCGAGCAGGAGCTGTGCTCTCTGTTGTTGGTTGATCAGTTGGGGCACTGCGTCCGTCACCAGGCACACAAACTCCTGCACCTTCCAGTAGTTCATCACGTCCTTCTGCTTCACCACATGCCACATGGCAGCAGACTGAAGCTGCAAAGGGGGCACCAGAAGGCGAAGTGACGGCAAAGGTGAGCATGGCTCTGGAACAGAAAGGTGTAGTGTGAACAAATGCTCTCTAGAGGGCAGCAATAAGTAATGAAGTGGGAGTTTGCAGAGTTTCACTTAATTTTTCGATTAAAAAAAATACTTCACATTAATTACATATTATAGAAGTAGTAATCTATATAAACAAGACAAACACACAATTATTAATTCATATATACTAAGTTCGATATGTGATCGTCTGAGTTGACCGGATATGAATCATTCCTGGAGAGACCTCATTTAATTGCGCCGACTAAAAAATTGACAGCTCTAGATTAAATAACCCAGTGTAATATTTAATAATGTAATAAGTCCCAAGCAATATGTTGATAATTTACATTGCGCAGCAGGGTGGTTGTTTAAAAATGTCACGATTTCATTAAATAGACCAAGTATCAGATTAGTAGTTAAAATATAGTCAGCGATTAGTTTAATAAAAAGTATTTCAGTCAGATACATACCGATCACTTTTTGTTTTGATGTGAGAGCCTCCATCAGCGCGCAAGTAAATCTGCTGTACAATGTTTTTGTTTCAGCCGGATGCGTTGTTAGGACGCAATCGTCCCTTCCTCAACTCCCCTGGTGAATTTCCGCTTTTCAAAATAAAAGCCTCAATAACCCGAAACTATTTTTCTTCATTTCTCCCAAATAAAGTGCCTACATAGCCTACATTATCTAAACCGTGTTTAAAGAAAGTCAATTTAACATACTTGGTTGTTAAAGTCGGAAGAAATGAATTAAAACAAAATAAATTGTTTTGACGACGTCACGACGCAAAGGTTACGCATTTCGAAGTCACGTGAGCGGGTCACAGCTTTCAGTCTTTCCTCCCTTTAATATCTTATTTTATCTACAGTTTTGAAAATGGACGAGGACGGCCTGCCGATCGTCGGTTCTGGAGTTGATCTCACGAAGGTTCGTGTTTTAAACTCGTTGGTTGCCATTTTTACAAGCTGACAGGAAGTAGGAGCGTAACGCAGCAGTTCGTCTATTCAAGGGATGTTTAGGATGTTCTCGGTTTCTGCAGGGAAAACTCTGGCTCGTTTGTAAGTTATAGTTGTTCACTTTTAAATAATTTTCAAGTATTAAACTGGCATCGGTTATAATCCGTCTTTCAAAAACATGGCAGTGGAATATTTTCTATTTTCTTCAGACGTTGCAATGAACTTAAATGTATTTTCATTCGGATTTTTTTTAATATGCCAGCACAAAGTAGCAACTCATGAAGTGACTGGAAGGAATAGATGTAAATAAATTATTTTTAAGGGGTCCATTTCAAAGAGTTGTTGTGATGTTGTAGCCAGGTAGGATCTCCTGTAGCAGTCAGGGTTGCAATAAATCTGAAAATGGAAATCATACCAGGCATATAATCACCAACCGGATGTTGCCACTGGAACAGACGAAGAAGAAGACGACAAGAAGTAATTGGAGGATCGATGTTTTTAAGACTTATCTGTGAACAGTGTTTTTCATGTGTGGTTATATTTTTTTATTTGATGGAAACACTGCAATTGTAAAATTGTGTTTTTTGACAGTTGTCCATCTCTGCTTTCGTAGGTTCCTGCTATACAACAAAGGAGAGTCGTCGCCCACCTAAATCAGTTTGTTGTGCACACAGTTCGCTTCCTCAACCGATTCTCTACTGTGTGTGAGGAGGTTTGTGCACTTTGTTTCTTTCTCTCTACTTCAGAATGTATTTATTGTTTCATTGAAATCACTAATCATTTTATTTTAACTATTCCACCACAGAAGCTTTCAAATATTTCCCTTCGAATACAACAGATTGAAACCACTTTGTGTATTTTGGAGGCCAAAGTAAGTTCTAAAATAAACAAGTAGATTTGATGTATGTTTGCCATTTTGTTGATGGATTTATGGTTTTCTCTGAGCAGTTGTCATCCATTCCTGGACTGGAGGAAGTCACAGTGGATGGACTCAACCAGCAGCAAAGTGTCCAGGCTAATGGACCGGTTAGCGCCAGTCAGAACCAGTCAGATGGTGTAAGGGCAGGAGGAGCTCCTCCCTCACAGGTAGGAAAACAGACCCAACCACAAACAAATCAATTGACTTATTACAAATATTGTTGCGTTTGATTCTTAAGTACTGTAACTGCAGATTTAAGAGAAAAAAAGTTACCGATCATTATTTAAATGTGCACAAACTTTTATTTCTTGTAGTTTTTAAATATGGAATTTAAAAACCAAATTCCTAATTTTGCATATAATGTTTGAGTTTTTAAATAAGTATTCCTGGTAAAACCAATGTTCTGTTGAACCACTGGTACAGAATATCAGTAAATTGATACCTTTAGCGATTCATTTGTTGGGTTTTTCCACACATTCTCAACTTTATTGCATATTTTGGGGTTAAAAAATATTATTAAAATATAATTTAGAAAAATTTAAATGAAAAAAGGGGAAAAACAAATTTAACAAGATCCTATATTAATTTTGAATGATTTTTCAGTCTTTTTGGTTCCTTGGTCCATTCCTCTCAGATGAAAGAAAATTAATTAGATATATAAAGAAAAAACTCAACCAAAATAAAAGTTCTTGTTTCTGTATTTGAATGCAGTTGCATCTTTTAACGTCAAATTATTGTGTGTCGCAAAGGCTTCTAGTTTTGTGAAGAACTGTTTGCGTCTTTTTGTGCTGCAGCCCGGTCAGAGTAAACCAGAATCTGCAGCTGCACCAGAAAAAGCAGAAGCGGTTCCAGAGAATGTCATGACTGTGGCTAAGGACCAACGTTATGCACGTTACCTGAAAATGGTTCAAGTGGTAAGATGTTATGTAATTTTACTATCAAAAAAACTACCATTATAAATAACGTGTGTCTTTTAAAAATATTTTAATTATGTGTTTATCCAGGGAGTACCGGCAATGGCTATTCGTAATAAAATGCTTATGGAAGGTTTGGATCCCAACCTGCTCGAGTAGGTTTTATTTTTTAAGTCTCAAATTGACAGTTTCCTGTCAAATAAACTTGAATTTAATGATATTTTGCCAACAACAGCACACCTGACGCGCCGGTGCCTGATGGAGCAGCAAGTAGCACAGAGAATGAGGATATTCCTGCCACCAGCTCTGACAGCGAATCGTCGTTCAGTGACTGATCTCTGCCTCTGCGCAGCTCCAAGTTTAAGGCAGTTCGTTGCAACGTGCGGATCCTGCAGGCCGTTTGCTGCTGCAGATTGTGGAAAATGTTCACATGAAGGAGCTTAAATAATTGTAATTCTTCTGGAAATGGTCAACAATCCTTTTGCTGCTTGTCAGCAAGCTAACTTTATATTTGTTTTCCAGTTGTTTGGAATTATTTTGGATTGAATCTGTAAAATTTATATCGTTCAAACAGTAACATTTGTACGATATAGTAGTTGGAGTCCTACTTTCACATAAAAACCTACTATTTCTGTTCAAGTTAGTATTAAGAACAATGCAGTGGGAGATGAACTTTGACCTTAGGAGCTATTAAACATTTAATACAAAATACAAAATCCTCATTATTAATAATGCTGGTTTGAATTGAGATATTTGCTGCATCACAAAACCGATTGTAAGATTTACCAGCTAAATTTTTCTCTCTCTGGTATTTAGGACTAATTTAGCTCATAAATCTTGCAAAAAATTCAGTTACTTCCATTTTTTAATGAAGAAATTAAAAAGATTTAAAGCATTTTCTTAATTTCATGACATTATGAAACTGGAGGTGTTTATATTGGGGGAAAAAAAATCTTCGCTTGTTGCACAAACTTGACTGTATGATATTAAGTACTTGGGTGAACGTAAAACCAAACAATAATTGGTAAAGTTTTATGTTATTTCATAATTATAATTTCTATATAAATTAAAAATAAATTCTTCTTGATGTTGCCTTGTGAGTCAAAATAATTCACCATTTTTTTAGTTATAGGTAATAAATGTATTTTCTGGTTGTACTTCAGTAACATAATCGTTTTAAAAATGTTTTACATATTAAGGTTACATACATAAATTAATTGTTTATTTCAGAGATATTGTTGCACTGAAATATCTGCAGCTCTAACAGTAAACTTTGCCGATTTTTAGTTACTGCTAAAGATTTATTTTCTTTACAAGCTGATTTTCTGTCTCGCTTTATTAGCATGAACTCTTGTGTTTCCCATTTTGAAGCACAAGAGATATGGGTCTTTTCATCACATCAAATTTTAGACTAATTTAATACAAGTTAAAGAATTATTTAAAACATGCAATTAGGTTTTGAGTTTCCTATAAATTAGAATATGATGCTGCAACTTATTTTGAGTCTTTTCAGATATTTTACAAGAGGTCAGTAAGTTTAGAGTGCAACGTATTACTGCTTTATTTTGTTAAAAAAAAAAAACATTTTTAACCAAACCTTCAGTCTCGTCAGGAGGAAAAGCACTAACACTACATGAGCAGTCACTAATTAAACATATAAAATATAAAGAAATGCTCCATTAAAAACTAATATATTCATACAAAACGTGCAGTTTATTTTTCAGATGTTGAAAATAATCTTTACAGTACATTTAGTCAAAAGTATGACAGTAGTTTGCTGGATACAGTTAAATTTCTCTTGTAAAAACATTTTGTAGTGAAGGTGAGTTTTGTACACATAATCTGGAATATTATTGATGACAAATAATCATAGTTTGAACAAAAATAAACATCTAAGTACAAAAACCGGATGAGTTTATATGCAGACTGAACATGTCTCACCTCTTATAAGATAGGCACTTTATTTCTCACAAAATTCCATACTGTACGTTTTTATCACTTTGTGTCACAGTAAGTTTTCAGTCTCTTCTTGATCAACTTTAAAGCCTCCACACTGGTGCTTTAAGTTCAGAAAATGATGGACTTGTATGCTTTTTACACAGCGTATATGTCACATTTTTGATGCATAAAAACCTTAAATTACTCTTTGGTTGCAGTGATGTAATCTCACTGAAAAATTGAGAAAAATAAAAAAAATGTTCACCACCAAAAAGAAAAACTTGGCACAATTGTTTTTCTCCTTAACAATTCCTATAAATAAAAGATTAAACATTTTTTGTCTGGTCTACCTTTTTAATTGATCAAAGTATCTAAAGTTGCTTTTTAAAATGGTGAAAACAAAACATGCCGTTCAAGTAAGACAGGATAGTTACAACTGAATACTAGTCTAAACTTGCTCCTCTCTTTTAAAAGTTATAAACTAGAGGAACTTCTCATCTTGAAATTGTGCTACTGCAACAAAAGTTTAATTTATTTCTAAAACCAACTTGAACACAAGTTTTCAACAGGCGCTGCATGTGTCACATGTAAAATGTTTGACAAACTTCTCTTATTAGTGGCCACAGGTCTCACAGGATGTGTCACGATGCTGTGGCAAGAGTCAAAGTGCAAAGTGGTGCTTGAACAGGAAAAAAGTTAATACTCGTATAAAATGATTGTATAAAAAGGTTTAAAAAAATAAAATATACATCGGCAATAATCAAGCATAGAAAAATATTATGTGAAGTTGCAAAAATACGATAGTATAAAAAGCTCTCATGCAAAAAATTACATAAAATACACAAATTCATTGAAATTAAGTTGGTGATTGTCTAGTCCTCATATTCTGTCCTCACTTGCAACTTAAATATCTGCAGGAAAACAAAAAAAAAGAAGCTTTTAAAAAACGATAAAAAGCAAAAACATTTTTGACTGATGGCTTGTGATACTCACTTTGAAATCGTGAATGTATGTGAGGAAGAAGCAGATGAAGCTGAAGGCAACAATCCACTCGCAGACGGCGCTGGCAATGTGGTACGGATAATCCTGCACAGAGTCAGATGTGAATAAACCACAAATACACACAGAAATGCCTGAATGAGTGAATTAATGAGGGATTGATCCAAAAATATTCCATGTTTTTCACACTTTTGGTATGAAATGTGATCATACTTTTGGCAATAATGGAACCCCATATTTTTAATCAGATGATTCATTTAACAGAATTGAAACCACAGAATAATGGAGACGTTGCTTACTATGTGAGATGTTGACTCAACATTTCCACATTTACATAACACACTTTCCTGTGAAGTGCAGGACCCACACATCATGATGCTGCCACCGCCATGCAGCATCATGATTGGTCAGATCTAGTTGGTCTCTTATTCTCAAGTTTTTTTTCCTCTAAAGCACAGTGTTCAAACTTAAGGTCCTGGGGTCAAATCTGGTCCGCTGTTGATTTTTATGTGGCCCTCTAGACTCTAAATTACATCAACAAGTCCTTCCAGTTTTTCACAAATCTGCAAAACTCACACAAAATCAACAGAGCTTCACTTTTCCTTTTCATTTTACTGAAACTTTTCTCAAAATTGGTCAAACACATTGAGTTTAATAGACTGCTGTCTTCACCTTACTTGCTTTTTATTCCGTAACTGATTTGAGTGATAAAAAGTCCCATTTAACATCATACATTAGCGCAAATATTGAAATTTTGATTGCAAAAATCCACTAAAACAATCAGAAAATCCTGGGGTGGAAGCTATTTATTGATATTTTAACAGTTCAATGGGTTTTTATCAATATATTCTGGCACAACTGGCCCTTTAAGGACATTCATATTTTTGACACGTCTGGTCCAACAACAGACATTTTTCTTGATCTGAGTTTTCTTCCTGATATTGTTGCTAAGTTTGTTTTATTTTCCAGTGTTTGTGGTGTTGCTTTTAAATACATCCGTATGTGTGTTTCAAATTAATTCAAGAACCTTACAAAGTGATTAAATTCCTCATATGGGTTTCTACTCACTGATCAAAAGCATAGTAATCTTAAAATATAAATAAAAACTTCTGAAGTTAAAGACAGTAGAAAAAAACAGCATTGGTCTTTCACAATGTGTCGGCTTTTGCTCTGGTTTGTATGTTTTGGATAGATTTTAAAGATATAAACAGCTGTTTTACTCTAAGAATAATACAGTCTTTTTTAAATAAATTAACAGAAAGTTTAACTCCCTTTAGTGGCAAGATGAATTAGTAAAAATAACAAGGTGATGGAGAAGAGAGGAACATGTGGGCTAAATTTACATCCTTGCCACAGTGTTCAACAATGTGCATGTATTAAAAAAGAGTTTTATGTATATTTTGTAATAATGCTTTCTTAACTAAACCCCAAAACTTCAGTGGTTCAAAACTTTCAAACTATATTTCTCACAGTTTCAGTCGCATCAAGTTCAGTTTACTAATCAAGCTGGGTGGAGGTGTTACTTTCATCCTGACAGTAAGAAATACTAATGATGATTACAGAGAATAAAAACTCAGCCTACCTTGTCATATGTGTGCCTGTGGAGGGTGGTTTGTTGAACGAAATACGCACAGATCGCAGCTGAGTTATTGGTTAAGGAAAACTTGCACAGAGCCGATAACGACACAAACACACATCATGCAGATTAAAAATAAACTTTGACCAAACCAAGCAGCTCCAACAAGGATACTGGGAAAAAATGCAGCTGTGGCAACGACTGCGAAGAACAAACGGAATCGACACACAAAGATGGACGAGTCATAAGGAAACGCTTGGTAAGATATTACAGTCTGCAGGATTATGTAAACAACTCCAGAGACGAAAAATACCAACGCCCCCAAATCATGGACTATCGTCACTGCTGTTTCCTGCAGGAAAAAATAATTTTAAAAAACAATTAAAGGTCACATTATACGATATTAAATTCCAAACGTGTGGAGGAAGAAATACCTGGAAAGTAGCAACGATGCACATCCCAAAACAGGCGGCAAACCCGAACCAGAGCGTGGCTTTATTCAGGCACGGTTTGACCAGGCTGCTCTGCTCAGTCAGCTTCTCCACAAACTTGTATCTGGCGTATATGGTGGCAATTCCTGGGCAAAAGTCACACCGCGTTTAACGCAAATTCAAAGAAAGGCTTGCTTTCATTTTCAGGATAAAAAGGGGAAACATCACTGGGAAGCTTGGTTCCTCCCTTGGGAGAACCCAAAGTTGTGTAATTAAGCCGGTGCTCAGAGGGAAATAAAAAAAATAATACCTGCACATGAAGAAATGAAGGTCATAAGTCCAAAAATGCAGCTCTCAGGTGGATTTGCCCCCGTATCACTGAGAAAACAAAGTTTTTACAGTTTTGTTCATATTTTACCTAATATTTTGACACAAAAATGACCAGAATTTGCATTTCTTTATGTATGAAAACCCTAAAAGCAGAGCATTTATATTCATTTTCAGTGCCTAAACCTTTCCACACTTACAAACTAATGTATTTCTCTTTTCTTTGCAAAACAGCTAAACATTTGGCCTTATGTTTGGACTTTGACTAGACCATTCCATAAAGAGAATACGCTCTAATCTGGCCCAGTCCAGGCACTCTCAAGTCTAAATTCTTCTGAAAAACTGACCAACTTCCCCTTTTCTACTGTAGAAAACTGCATATATACTGAGAATAAACCAGTTACGCAAACCTTTTCAAGACGATTGTTTCGTTAATTTAAAATAGAGGTATCAATATAAACATTTCTGAACAAATATTACCAAATACTTTTGGTCTAGTTAGAGAAAATATCTTAATACACTGGAAATAAGACAATAATAGTAACTTTTCAACAACACATGAGCTGGTTTTAAGTAAATAATTCCTTAATATTGATTAAAAAGTACCAGCTCTTCCAGTATATTATTGAAATGTTTTGATATATGTGAAATAATCTGTCAGTGAAACTAAGTACTACATTTTTAAATCAATATTAATTATTTACTATAATTATTTGCTCCTATATCTTGTAAGTTAATTTTGTCTTATTTCAAGTGTGCTAAGATATTTGCACTGGAAACTAGAACAAAAATACTCGGTAAGATTTTGTGTTTTTGCAGTGTACGTTATATTTTTTCAGATTTTTTTTTGGAAACAACATATTTTCTTTATTACTATGAGAAAGCAGATTGTAAAATTGTAACTTCCTGTCATATTTCTTGCACCTTTATACGCTGACGACTATCTTATGATTAAATTAAAGTTAAATCTACTTTGATTTTTAGAAAAATAAGCAGAGAAAAGGATCGCCGTTGCAATAATCTTAATAGAAATGGGATTTTTATTTATGAAATGAAACAAATTTCCAGCTCAGTTTCTTTGATTTTTCTACTATTATAAGCTTGTATTTCAAAATTAAAGTAAGAGTAAAGGCAAATAAACATAAAAAAAACAACAAAAAAACACAGCAGTTTTATTATTAGAAAATAACTGTACAAATAACAGATGTGCAGCTGGAGCCCAGGCAGCTCTAAATAACTTAGAGGAAAACGAAACTAAAGTCGCGATCATAAATCAGACTTAGGAAACCTGCTCTGCTTGATTGTTTTATTACTATGTTTTTTTCCTTAAATATGACAAAAGAAACGTACCTTATATAAGGGAATATAATGTCCACATCGCCTCTGAAGAGCGCAATAATATAGGAGACGATGAAAGTGCAGGAGGACCAGACGACCAGAAACGCGGGCAGGAAGCAAAGCCCCTGCCTGAACCAGAACATCTCCAGAGGCTTTCAGCAGAACCTTCAGCGAGCTGCGCTGAGAAGAGGAAACAGCCATACAGGAAGAGATGGAGCTCAGTGATGGGACTTATTGTGATATCACTTATCGGCAGGCAGTCACATGCTGGGCTGGGTTAACAAGAATGAACCTGCAGGTTGTGCGCCCTCAGTGTGCCGTGACCTCTTCCCCAAAGCGACTCCCTGCGGGCCCGCCCACACACGTATACGAGCCCCGAACCGCTCTCTTCTTCGCCGCTTCAGTTCCTTTTTCTGCCTCTGTGCAGTTTGCGTCTGAAATGGCACACTTTGAAGTGCGACAAATGAAGTCTTGAGTTAAACATTGATTTTGCGGAAATTTGCGAAAAAAATAAAAATGAAAATCTGTTAATCTGTCAGTTTCATGTGATTAACCAACAAAATGTAGAGTTTAAGGAAACTGGTGTTTTCCCAGACAGATGATCTGAAAAGTGTGGCGTGCTTTTATATTTAGCCCTATTTTCTTTGCCACCTCTTAATCCAGGGTTCTGAAATAGGGACCGGTGATATGCACTGCAATGTTTTGTGGTACCATTATGATGATTTTTTTTCTATGTAAATGCCGCATTTATAGCACCACAAACACAAATATTGGTGTTGGAAAAAATTCTGATTTGAAATATGCTTCTTCATGTCTCTACTTGCTTTAAAAAAGTTATTTATACAACTAAACACAAAACAGTAGCTGCATTTTATCATATTTTTTAATCTACTGATATTTATTGATGCTACCATGGAAAGAATTTTTTCCTTTTAACAATGACAACTAATCAAAATGAAAGTTTTTTTTCTCCATTAAACATTTTCGGCTCTAAACAAACTGAATGCATCTGGACTAAGGGCATAATTCACTCTTTCTAATCTAGTCTTCTTGACTAGAATAGAGGCCATGCATTCTAAACATATGATCAGTTTAGATCAAAGCACATTCCCTTGCTGAATATGCTAAACAAAAAGAAGAATTAATGTTTCCCAAAACTCTCCATTTAATCTGAAGAAGAATGGACAAAAGAATCTGTATTTAGATGTGCAAAGCTGGCACAAATACACCCCAAATGACAGAATTTTAGCAAAAAGTATTCACTGAGGGAGGGAAATTTATAGAACAATAGATTATAAATTTTTATTTATGTATTTTTTCTCTTTTTTAAAGCAGAAAATAAGGGAAAAAAAGTATCATGTCCCTTCTGGTCCACAGTAGCGAACTACTTTGTGTTGGTTTGAATACATCACAAGACACATATTTTTGGCACAAATGGACCCCCATAGATATGGAACTTGTTAGTTGTTCCACTTAAAATCCTGAAAAGTTTATGAGACTGTCATAGTTTTGGACAAAGAACATACTGCAGAATACCCAAATCACTCCTCCGCCTTCTTATGGCGTTTAGACAAAGTATCTTAGTGATTTGTTATCTCCTTTTGAAACAAATACCCGCACAAGATCAGACAAGCACATGAGTCTAGACTTGGACAGCTGACAGGAAATGCTGCTATCACATGAAATAAAAGGATAGGCTTGCAGAACTCAACCAGAAAAAAATTTCCTTCTAAAGTGTGTTGAATGTTTCCCAAAAACAAGTGGGAAGGTCGTTAAATAAGAAATCGACGTCATAGAACAGATAACTGAAAGTAGTGCGGTTGAACGGTGGGAAATCCACAAATTAAAGAAATGAAACACAACTGGCAGAAAACAGAAGTCTGAACTGTGAGAAACCAGGTCAGGAATTTTCAGAAATTAATCATTAATCAGCACTTTGGAAATGATGCAACTTTTCATCAAAGGTTGAGAGTAGCTGCTCCATTTTCTGTTGTTTTATTTTCCCTGAAGAGCTTTAGGAGTGTTTTGAGATATAAATGCGTCTAAATATAACAAGACACAGACCAGTGGACTGACTCTGAGGTTCTGTTGTTGCACAAACTCATTGAAGGTTGCCAGGGCCCAACTTGGCAACTCTTTAAAAAATAAACAGGTTCTTACTCAGGCTTGATAGCTGGAGGCTGAAACTAAAAAGATCTTTGTTTACTTGGAGAGATAAATCCAAACACTGGAGCATAAAATTATGCACATGCTTTTGCACATGTGCATAATTTGACCTTATCATGCAGATCCCGCAAGGTCATTGTGAGCAAGATCAACATTTCCTGTCATTGGGCAACCAAGTCAGTTGTGTTTCCTGTGCCTTTTGTTGCCCTAATGTGGCCTTAAGAAAGATAATTTGTTGTTTAATACACATCAACACAATCAGAGTTATAAGAACTGAAGATTTAACTTAATCTCAAGTTTTATCTCAGGTTTTAGTACATTTTAAAATGACTATGACTTCAGCGCTGCTCATGTTTCATGGGACGTTTTAAAGATCAAGATACTTATGTAAAATATGAGCTAAATACATGTCGTGTACATACATTATAGAGAATAAAAGGCAAAAAGATGGAGTGACAAATAAGGCTTTTAAAAAAAACATTTAACGTGGTATTTTTTGTGGCAGAATATGTTTGAGAAAGTTCAACATGTCTCGCAAAGTTTGGCTGCTATCTATTGTCTGTGACACTGTTTTTGAGACACATTTTAAAGTTTTATAAATACCGACGCAACATGTGATAACTGCCTGGCACAAAAAGTTAGCTAATAAAAGCAATACAAGGTGAGAGGAAGAAGGACGGAGGTGAAAAACATAAAATAAACTGACAAAAACCTTCAAACAATGCCTATAAATCCCCCAAAATATGTTACAATGACACAATTTGAAAATAAATATAAATTTAAAATTAATTGTGTGTAAAGAATCAAAGCAATGAAGCAGAGTCTGTATTTTTTTTTACCTTAATAATTTGTTTAATATTTGTAAACAAATATAGTTACCTTTCTAAAATATGGAATTCTGAATAATAAAAAGAGAAAAACATATTTTTTGAGAAGGTGGTATCTTGTAAAGCAATTTCAAATGGTCCCATAACTTAAGATGCAAACACCTAATGTTGTTTACAATTAAATAAGAAATATGTTGGCTAAAACAAAACACATTAATTTAATTTAATTTAATTTAATTTAATTTAATTTAATTTAATTTAATTTAATTTAATTTAATGCTACAGAGTAACAACAAAATGTGTTATGTTCTGTAGTGGCAACTTCTCGCCACCAGAGGGCAACGAAGAACCTTTGCCGGTGAAGCAGCACCCTCGGTTCCAGGGTCGCCGCCGCCGAAGAAGAGTGAGATGAGTCGGTTGTCATGTGCTGTCGGTTGGGCGGTCAGCTGACGCATTCTTCTCGCTTGTGATGTTTACTTTCTTTTGCCGTTCGCTTAAAAAGGCGGTAGTTTTGACTTTTCTTGAATGAATGCAGCGCTATGCTCGACCCAGGAGAGTCATGGTCGTCGTGAACTCGGTGCTGAAGCTGCTGCAGAGGCAGACCTACACCTGTCTGTCCCACCGATACGGTCTCTACCTCTGCTTCGGGGGGCTCGTCCTCATGATCGTTTCCGCCTTTCAGTTTGGAGAGGTGAGCCATCTATGATTTCGCGTGTAATGGCTTCTTCTTTAACCCAAGCAGCTATTAGCCTCAACCGGCCTCTCTGGCTGCTGACTAGAGACTCATTCAAACCAAATCCCAGTCAAAAAACTGCCAATTTAAGCAAATATGCTCTTTGAGGAGCAGACACGTGTTGTCCATCAGAATTCAGGACTTATTTCCAGTCTTTTGAGTGTACAGAAAAATTCGTTCACCTAAATAACCTTGTAAAACATATAATTCATTGGTAAAGTGTTTATACTCTTTGAAGTTGTTCACATTTTGTCTTGTTAATTTAATATGACTGTCCAACACAAAGTAGTGTGTAACTGTGATGTGGACAGAAACGGGTACAGTTTGCACACTTTGCTCTGACAGTCTTAAATATGGTAGTGGCAGCATTATGCTCTGGAGCAGATTTTGAAGATTTTCACGCTTTAACTTCCAATTCACTGTTGGGCTTGAATATATGCAAAGCAGTGTTGTAGTAGTCTTGGCTTTGTGTCATATTTGGAATGGAAAAATGTGTTAATTGCATTTTCTCCCCCGTTCAGGTGGTGATGGAGTGGAGTCGCGACCAGTATCATGTGCTTTTTGACTCCTATAGAGACAATGTGGGTGGGAAATCTTTCCAGAGCAGGTAAGATTTTTACATCTATTACAATAAATCATCTGGCTCCATCTCACCTTAACATCTTTCGCTGCCACATAGAACAATGTATGTTACTGGGTTTACAAGATCTTAACTGAAATGTATAAATATATAAGATAAAAATAAGTCCAAAAGAAAGAAAAAGAAGGCAAGACTGAATTGCTTATGTCCAGAATCCCTAACTGTGGCATTATTTCATAATACGATGGCGATACTGGTTGATAAGAGTGATAGAAAAGTCGCTAGTTTGAAGAGTTAATAAGATTTTAAAAATCCTATAATATTTGCCCCTTTCCTCCCAAGAATACTATCAAAAAATATTGATTTAAACACAAAAAAACAACTTTGTATTAGAGAGTTGTTCAGTTTTGTGTAGAACATAGTGTCAGTGAATGGAAGCAGCTGAAAGTCTTTTCAGTCTCATTGTGTTTGAGGATTTTGTTGATTTAAAGTAGTATAGATTATATATTTAATGTTTTATTTAGGTAGCTGGTCAACATTTTGTACTGCCAGAGGATAAATAAAAAGAAAAGCCAAACAAAGCTACATATTTCTTATCTGAGCAACTAAAGTCCAAGTGTTTACATTGATTTCAAGATAATTGTTTCATACGAATTATAGATTTTCTGCCTCTAAAATGACATAATTGCTTTATATAGTAAATTTTAAATCATTTGGTTTGTCTTGTTGAGAAACAGTTGAGCTTTGCTTTGCCTTCATGAAACAGGATAAGGCGAGGCGATGTCTGAACAAACACTACACTAGATTCCAGACCTGACAGAAATCCGCTTTAGGAATATAAACAGGATCACAGCCTTGCAGCACTGATGTGATGTTCTATTTAACTTTCAGGCTCTGTCTGCCCATGCCTATTGACGTTGTGTACACATGGGTGAACGGTACAGATGTGGCTCTGCTGAAGGAACTGAAGACGGTCAAAGAGCAACTGGAGGAGGAACAAAAGGCTCTGAGG